GCGATCTTAAATGTTTCACCTATATGAATAAATACTAGTCCATAATCGTGAAGTGAAAGGAATATCATATGTGCCTTTTAAGAATTTGTGTAATCAATATCTGAAAAGTCTGACATGCTTTGTAGTCAGCCAAACTCAGTAATTAAACCACATCTTTCTGAGAATACAGCTGCAAGTTTTATGGGTAAGTTAAATCAACTTCGCACATCTAGAAACTGTGGTTTTTCACCAATATTCTTTGCAGAATACCTCAAGCTCCGTCTGAAAGTAATGTGAAAATTGATTTTCAAGTCTTGCAACAGAATCTTAGTTTAAATCTATGTCTGGACTCGACTAGACCTTTTAACAGATGAATATGCTTGGACTTAAACCTGGGGTCATAAACCTGTACAATCCTAAGAGTCATTTTGACCCCGAGTTCTCCTAATTTCTTTAACTATTAGACAAATAAGTTTTGTGAATACTAGGGATGCAAACTGTTGATTTAACTGATGTTAAATAATCTTATTCTCATTGATTGTGCAATCGACTAATGATTGATAAGCAACTATTTCCCTTAAAAAAAATCAAGTTTTCTCTCATATCAAGAATCTTTCATGAAGGGCTAAATATATTTTTACAATATACTGAATCAGAGAAGTACTATATCCTTATATTTTAACTATTTATTGTGTCAGATGTAATGAATTACATGTTTTTTGGCCTTTGCCTCCTTGAACCCAGTCTGCCTCAGCAGATGGCTGCTCACTGTGAGCCTGGTTCTGCTGGAGGTTTCTTCCTGTTAAAAGGGAGTTTTCCCTCTCCACTGTCGCTACAAGCATGCTTAGTGTGAGGGATTGCATCCGAGTCAATGATGGATGCAATCAACTGGCTTTTCTTAGATAGAAAACTTTGAATCAATTTGACAGTACGAACTGGTGGACTGCAAAGTGCCTTGAGATGACAGATGTTGTGAATTGGCGCTATAGAAATAAGCTGAATTGAATTAATAAACACAGAAATGAAAGCACCGTTTGCAGCAATTTGACAAAAAAAGAAAAGTAAACAAAAACAGTGTTAATAATGTCAATGTTATATCAGCTTTAATCAATATTTTTATTACAAGGGGTGGTCAATAAAAAATGCCCCTGACCCACTTCCAGTGGTTTGGTCCAGATGAAATTTTGCATGTGCAATTATTCTTTAGATTAAGAGGCAAATTACAGCTTTGAACTTATTGGGGTTTCTGATTTACAAGTGTTTGAATTGAGTCAGTTCTGAAATGAACCCTATTGGGTGTAGAGCAGTGATTTGGTATTTGAAAGGATGCACACCAAGGAAGACTTGATGACGATGCGCCATCATATGACCATGCAAAATGTTTTAGAAGGTTATAAGATTATATCATCACCATAAGTTACTTTAATTTCATCAAAAGTCTGCCGTGGTGTGCGTCCTTTCAAATTCAAAAACTAGATCACAGGTTCCTGCTGACACAGAGCTTTAATTTGTCACTTAATTTATAGATTTAAATAGTTGCACACGCAAAACTTCAGCTAGATCAAACAAATGGAAGTGGATCAGGGACATTACTTATTGACTACCCCTTGTATATAAAAATAACTACTAAAACTATTACCATTTTAGCTAGAGATGCTGCTTAGTTCTATATCAATTCTGGCCAAACTTATAAAGAGCCACTACAAAGCAACCCTTGACATAAACTCCTCCATTGTTTTTCTGCCTGTATGTTTAACAGCTTCCTCCCCATTGAATACAGGACATCTAGAAGCAACTCTGGCCAGCCTTGCTACTCTTACCAAAGAATGGCATCCCAAAGGTATGATGCTGCAACCACCGTGTTTTATGATAATAATAAAGGAAGAGTTTAGAGAGATGTCATGCGTTATTTTGTCTTTAAACACAGCATGCTGCATTCTAGTCTCGTCTCACCAGACCACATTCTTCCACGTTTTCCGGTTACCCTTATAAAGCTTAAAGCAGAATAGATTTTGTTTTTTGCTTACTTTCTTTTTTAGCCCCTTTTATCAACAAGTCACAGATTAATGCAGTCTACAAGTGTTAATCTATTGTGATTAAGTTTCTCAGGTTTATACTGTACTTGCTCAGCCAGATGATTCAGAGCAAATTCTTTATTTTTGCATGTCATACGTGTCTTAAATAGTCGTTTACACGGATTCAACAAAGCTCTGTGAAATGTTCAGAATCTTGTGATTCTTCTAGAGCCTAATCCTGGTTTAAATATCTCCACAGCTTCCTCCCTCACCCAAATTCTGATTCCTTGGTCTGTCTGATGCCATTCTTTCTCTTACATACCGCTCAGGCCTTCACAGAGCAAGTTAATGAACACTTAGATTCAATGAAATTCCTTTTGGATTGTCTTCTAGCTTAGCAAATGTGTCAAACCCCAAGTAATATATCCAGTCCTCATAAGGCAAAAAGAGCGATAAAATAGAGGCATGTTTTCTTTTGAAGTGTAAAAAGTGGCTGAAACTACAACATTACAGTTATGATACCAGAGTGGTGTACTCTTTCTAAATGAAATGAATGAAATTAAAAGTTTTATCTATATAGCTTCAACGGATCCTTTTACTTGATGAGCCAGAAGTGGCTTGATACCAAAAAGAGTTTAAAACACCTGATGGAAGGGTATCACAAATATTTGGCTGGATAGAAATCTATGTCTCACTTCTCAACGTTTTCTTTCCTCGTTTACAGCTATGCACAGCTTAGGTAAGTGTATAACGTAAATTGTTAATAAAAAGAAAGTCTCGTTTTGATAAGACATAACGGGGAATATATTTCGGCATTAAAAAAAAAACATTTGCAAGATACTAGCCTAGTAAACTAGCCCCACCCGCCAGCGGCCAAAATCATTTTTGCCTGCGGGTGGTCTAGCCTCGATCAATGCCCCAGGCCCTAGAACTGGCGGGCCAATCACAACGCAGAGATGTGTTTTGAATTCCTGGATGCAAAGCGGGCGGGGTTTTGAGGGCGTGACGACAAAGCTGCACGACGCTGGAGAAAGCACAACAAGGAAGATGGCAACAACTATTGAACAGTTCTCGTTTGACTCAACGTTGGAGGGATTAGACCTGGGGTTTTCGTTGAAATGGGAGCAAGAAGAGGCTCTACGATCATTCATTTTTAAGAAGGACGTATTCGCTGTTTAACCGACAGGCTACTTGTTTACACTCCCCCACCAGCTTTCTGTCACGCTTTCTACGTCACAGTCAGTTGCACTCATTGGTCTAGGTGTTGGTCAATAGGCACAGAAATGGTTTGAAAAATAACGGGTTGTTCTCATCAACAATCTTCCGATGTCTCATTCATCGGGGCCAGATTAAATTACACATTTAATCTCACATTTAGTCTGGTTTATCAGGCTAGCAAGATACAATAAATAAGCAAAAATGTTTTAAAGTCGCTTTAAAGAATATTTTGACATTTTCAAACACATTTCCTGTGGAAGAAGATGGCTTGGTGGATTCCTAGAGCTTAAAATGTAGAATCAATTCCTTCTTTGCAGGTGCAGCATGTTTGTACGCTTTGTAGCTCTCAATAAACATACAGTATGTGAGGCACAAAAAACAGGAACTGCACAAACAATCACCTATAAATAAAGCAACCTAGAAGTAACAGAAAAGGTTAGTGTTAACTTAGTTAACACTGACTAAACACTCTCCCCCGTGTTTTTTTAGCATGAATAATGAATGAAAACAGCTGTCAAGGTAGATAGCTCTGAATCAACGTGTGGGAGCAAACAAAAAGAAACATCTTTTCAGAGTCAACGCACTTCTAAACCAAGCTGACGTTCGCACTTCCTTCAATTCTCAGTGTTACACAAGGTTAATCAGAATATTTTCACAGTTAAAATACACCAATATACAACTTTAACTTCTGATTTGCCATCCTCCCCACAGTAATATATTTAAATCAGTTCTTTTTTTTAAATATATTACTAAGTCAGAGAACAAAGTTTTGCTTCAGTATTTCCCTCAAAACACATCTAAAAGCAGAAAAGGGAAGGATCACTTTGCGCCGGATTATCCAATCAGAGCGGTGAGAAGAGTACCTGTCATGTAGGGCAGGCTTCCAGATCCGGATATATTTAAACTCCTATAAAAACTGGGTCTCTGCTCTCAGACTCACTGGAACGCTTTAGTCTCTTCTGGTCCGTTTTCCTTTGTCTTCTTCTCTTCTTTACCTCTATCAGTCTGTTTTTCTTTCTCTTCTGTTGTGTTTCGGAGTAACCTGCCTCTCTCTCGCTGCCTGTTCCTCAATGTTTGGTGTTCACTCCCCTAAGAGCTGGAAGTCATTGACAGCAGCAGTGCAAACCCTCTCTAAGTCTCCTCCCTTGCTCTCTGACTCCCTCCCTCCCTCTGGCAGGCAGGCAGGCAGGCAGGCAATGCAACATATCCAGGCCTGTCCCCTTTGCTTCAAGAACCACTTAACACTTTTTATCCACTTCTTATGTATCCCGGATTCCTTCTTCAACAGTTTCTGTCAAGTATTTCACAACACCACGATGGACGAAACAGATACCTAGTCCAGCTAAATGTTTGTTGTTTTTCCGCCTAAGCTCCACGGAGGTGAAACCTCCCTAAAAATATGTCAGGAATTTGCAGATGAAAAACAACATAAATAAAGTTCAGCTGAGGAGGAAAGAGTCATGCATTGCTTCTGTTTTTCTGGTTTAGTCTAATTAATAGAAATAAAAAAATAAACCTGCACACATCTGACTGTATTTCCTCTTTGAATGTTTGTCATGCATGGCCCTATGAAGAGAAAACATACTTGCTGATAGGTAGTTCCTTTTAACACAAAATGGATCAAGGATTTGGGAACCAAAATTGCAGTAGGGCTTGCCGTCCTCACGCAGCGTGGAGCTTTGTGTTTTAGCTCTCAGAGTTGTAATAAAAACAGACGGAGCAGCTTGAAGTAGTGAAAGACATCAGATCTGAGCTCAAAAGATGTGGGAAACAAAATATAACACCCACCTTGTGCACAATCTCGCTCAGATCTCTGCAATAAGTGAATATATTTTGGGTAGAGGTGTATCCGCTCAGCTTGGTTAACTGATATCTGGAAAGACATGATGCTACAAATCAGTTCGGATGATAGGGAGTGGGAGGAGGCAGGGTCATTTAAGTGAAGAAAAGATAATTTATTAAGGTTTTAAAGAAAGAATCCAACAGTAAAATTATTCTAACATACAACAAATGAAGGAAAACAGAAAGAATTGTGAGTTCTACAAACTAAGCCCTATGATAAGAGCTAAATACACTAAGTCTCAAAATGATGCGGGTAGGAATTCCTTTTTACAAACCTGTTAAGCAATGAGAAGAGGCCTTTGGCAGAAGTGATGAGCTCAATGACATTCTTCAGAATGCCAGCTGGCAGCTTGGTGGAGCTCCGTCCGTCGTAGCCGTTGAGGCGCCAGCGGCTCTGGATGCCCATCTGCAAGGAGTGGGCAACAGCACGCAGCTTTTCTGTCAGACCTCGCAGGCTCTGTCCTCCCATGCCGTAAGTCTGGAGACAAGCATACACAAACACACATGGTTACGGATGGGCAGTACATTCCACCCCCTGCTGTCGCCAAACCCCTCAGAGGAGGGAAGAGATGGTTTTTAAGTCCAGCTTAATGTTCCAGCTGAATATTTAACACATATCTTCATTTCCTGTGTCTTTCCTACTGCCTGGTTTGATGAAATCCATAGAAGGCCTAAAAAAGAACTCTATTTTTCTTTATTATTGGAGACAAGAAAACTGTTTTTATTATGCTTTTCAATGCATAGCATCTTTCATGTGACTTTTTTCTGAACAGTGTGGCTTTAATGATTAAAAAATGAACAATCATCCTCCTTAAAAAGAAACAACAGTCATTTAATAGTTTATGAAACAGCAAAGGCAGGTACTAATTATTTATATTTAATAGAGTAACATTTAAAAATATAAATTTACTTCTGGGAGAAGTTGTACTGTATGGTACTTTTTACTTTTAGTTCTGTAATATTTTTGCTTACATAAAACTCCTGGTTAGTTAATCGACTATGAGTAACAGGAGCTACACATAAAAATATATACAGAAATCATTTCATATCTGGAATTTCTTATCCTCTGCATTATTGTATTAACCATTTTTAAAATCGGTTATGTTGAAAAAAATGTTTTTTCCCCTTGTTTTTTAGCTTTGTGGTGATGTTGTTTTTTTCAATGTTTTTAATTTGAATTTACAGATTTTGCAAATAGCTCTCTGCCTGATTACATTGTTGCAACCATTACAGCTACAGTGTGTAATTTTCAGCGACATCTAACGTCCAGACTGCAGACCGCAGCAACATGAACATCTCCCCCCCACCGCTTCTCCCCCCCAACAGTACGGCGAGCGTTACGGGACAAAATGTCTTCCACGACGTCCGCATCACCTACCTTCTCAAGTGATGAGGTTTGTTTACATAGATAATTTTAATTCTGCCATCTATTGTTCAGTACCGTCTCAGTTCATCTCTCTCAACTTGCCGTAGTTACTTTTGAGTGTAATGGGCGATCTCGCAATCACTAGTTCTGCGCTAGTACTAGGCTCTGCGCTACCGTAGTGCAAAGATGTCTGCCTCCATGGCTGCAAGACCCGCTCCTATGTAATTATAAATAACGAATTCTAAGGCAACACAAATATTAAGGTTAAGAGGCTGAGCTCGTAGATGATGATAAATAACATAGTTATGTATAATATATTACATTCCTGAGTGTATATCCCTGTAATTATTACACACTGTAGCTTTAAATCAAACTTTTGATCCCTTTAGAAGTGAGTTCTTGGATGACTTTCTACTTTTACTTGAGTAAAATGAACATGTAAAAGTTGTGCTCCTTGAGTAATTTTTTTTGGCAAACAGAGAAAACTGTAAAAAAGCAAAATAATCCATCAGTGCAAGCTTTATCCCGGCATCAAGAGGATTGTTGTTGTGAATACGGTACAATCTCTGCACCTATTGTCAACAAAAACAAAAAGCAAAATGAAATAGATGGCAAACTATATCAATAAAAATTATGTAGTAATAAAATGTTTCTTTACATTTAGAAAAGAACATTAGTTGATTTAAAGTACAAAAGAAACATAGAAAGCAAACAAAACAATAACATCATTGTTTTGTATTAATATTCCTTAATATAGGTTTATGTTAACAGTAGAGTTAAGCCAAAAATATTTCACACCCCTGGCAGATTTAGATTTCAAATAATTTCATTTAGAAAAAGTTTGTTTTGTTTATGTTTTGTGCAACTGATGTGCCATCTTTGGGAATAGTGTTACATTTCTGTTACAAGACAAAATGAGAATGGGACACCCTCTTTCCTTTAATGCAAAAGGAAAGCAGCAGGCGTTGCTACGGCAACACTGTGACACCCCATGTGCATGGCTTTAGCTCTGTGGCACAGGTTGCAATGAAATCAAACATTTGGCCTTTTCTTAAAAATAAATTCATACAGTCAAATTAATAATATTTTAAATCAGACCTCCTCTTATGGAATTAATGACTTATTTTTTCTAATTTGTACATTTCTTCAGCGTGACAAAGATGCATTTAAATGCATGTTTCTTCTTACACCTGCTGCCAAATTTCAGAGTGGCTGCATTGATGCAGACTCATTATTTAAGGGCTGAACGGTCCACTCGCCCTACCCACTATGTGGTTCAGGATGGCCCAGTGGACCCTTTTTTGGGAACGAGCAAATGGAGGGTTAGTGCATAGGGGTAGTGTTTAGGGGCCAGCTTGAAACTAGGCATCTGTCTACTAAGTTGCAAACCCAAATTACTTTGCACTTTCTTTCAAGCTCTGCTCTGCGCATACAAGCACTTTTGCACCTGTTTTAAGACATGCAAATTTTGCAGCTCAGGCCCTTAAGTCACAATTGCAGTTCCAAATTCTCCTAAGTGGTGCCTGACTTTACACGAGTGAACAAAGTGAACGTGATTGGTGTTTTATCAAGGGGGAAGGATTTTTCTGGCGGAAGGTTTGCAAGCAAGTTTGATTATGGTTGGTGTCTCAGAAGCATCTTGCTAACCAGTTAGCAACTTAGTGCTAGTAGGTTCCCAATGGGAAATTACATTAGGACCAAGTAGCATTTGACACTGTCAAGGAATGCTATGGACAGCGGAAACATGCAAGAGGAGGAGAGTTTTGTGTCGGAGGTCGTGGATGAGTCTCCTCCGTCATGCATTTTTTATTTAGAGGTGGAAATTGGGGACAAAGATGTTGTGAATGAGGGCGCCAGGGCAGCAGAAGGTTTGTTCGGTGTAGAAGGCTTATAGCCGTACATGTTTGAGCCCTTGCCTCGCAACGCTGCCAGTTCTCTTAGCTCTACGCCTGCAGAAGACACAGACGTCCATCCATGTGAACACTGGGACGGAACTCAATGGTAAAGTAAATTGATTCTTATTTCTTATTTCAACCGTTGCATATAATAGCTGCAACGTATGAATCAAGACGCAATGACTTGAAAAAATTTGATTGACAGATGACAGCTGATATTTGATTGGCCAAATTTAGGTGTACAAGCTGACGTATAACTAACTGGCCTGCATAAAAACACAGATTTTAAGACAGCATTTTTTTTTATAGAAATTTGTAACCTTTGCGACAATATGGTCTGATAAAGACTATATTTACATACATGTTTAAGCCAGAATGATTTGAAATTCAAATATAACTTCTCTATGACTTTAATAAAGTATATTTTTATCCTGTTTCAACAAAACCATCATACCTTTAACAATTATAATACATTTACATATAACATTTATAATACTATATTTTCATATTGTTACTAGAGCTGGGCGATATGGCGATATATATCGTGAGGACGAGAGAAACATGTCTATCGTGACCTTTCTCCTCTATTTTTTCTATCGTGATAAACTTTTTTATTATTATTATTACTGCTAATATACATTTTAATATAATTTGTTAATATAACATTTTGCGTTTTTGCTATGCAAACTCTAAATGTATATAACGAAAAAAAAAAAAGAGAATAAAAAGATAATGTGTAGAGAACGTGGTTTTGCGACACTACACCGCTTTACGTCACCGGGCTTTGCACCATACGTTTGCGACATTACTGACGGAGAGAGCCCGCGAAATTTCTTTCTGGCTTGAAAAAAAATGAATGATGGACACCCAAGAAGATGTTACCACAGCAGCGGTTACAGAGTCCGAAACGGTTGCCAGGTCACAGACACAACAAACACCACTTTTGCCCAAAAGGGGAGGCAGCTCGGTTGTTTGGTTATTTTTCGGATTTCAGCCATCTGATAAAGAACAAACGCAGCCGATATGTAAACTGTGCAGCAAAGCCGTTCCAGCGGCTGATGCAAATACTTCCGGCCTCTTTTACCACCTGAAGAAAAATCATGAACAAGAACACGGGAAACTACAACCAGTCCGATCAAAACAAACAAGGGATGAAAATACAGGAAGCACTGGAAAGAAATTCTCACAGCCGAAGCTTAAGGAAGCATTCGCCCAAGGATCACAATATGAGAAGACGTCTCAGCGACACAAGCAGATCACAGGTGCTATTTCACGCTATATCTGTAAAGGCATGGCCCCCGTTTACATAGTCGAGAAAGACAGCTTTCGGGACCTCGTCCGTACACTCGATCCCAGATATGTGATGCCTAGTCGAAAACATTTCAGTAAAGTGGAGCTGCCTGGCTTATATGCTAGTTGTCGGGCTGAAGTGGAGAGAGAGGTACGCAGTGGTGCGACGCATTATGCGTTGACTACGGTCATGTGGATGAGTAGAGCAACACAGCCTTATATGAGTCTCACCATCCATTTCATCAAGGACTGGACCCTCCGCGCTCGGTGTCTACAGACCGTGTACTTTCCTGAGGACCACACCGGAGTGATGCTCGCCCAAGGTATGAGCCTGACATTGCTATGCACTTTTGTGCGTTCGCTAGTTTTACTATTATTGGTTTTACTAATATGCTTACACCAATGAACTGTGTGCTTTTACAGCATACGCATCCATTACTGGACGCACTGATAGTATAATTTATTCTGAAGGGGGGAAAAGTGAAGGCTACTGCACCTGTGAGTGTTGTGTTTACACACAAAGGTGCTGTAGCATTCACTTTTTCCCCTTCAGAAAACATAAAATGCAACATCAGTTGTGGTATATCGTGATATATATCGTTAACGTGATATAAAATAATCCATATCGTGATATAGTTTTTTTTCCATATCGCCCAGCCCTAATTGTTACATGCCTATATTGCAGGTTAATCCTTGTTTTTTTGCCATTCAAAAACTGTATGCAGTTCAGTTGTTATAAAGCTTAGGTAGAGTATCTGTGGGCCAAAAACACTGCATAACAAAGCAGGTATAACAGCAGGTGTTACACACGTATGATGCTGCTACAATGATAAATCCTTTCAGTCCCATTTCATAATAATCAATGCACATAACGCCACACCTTAAACGGATTTATATCTAGTAAAATGCTATTCAAATCAAAGCCTACACAGACATATCCCTACTATGGAATTAGGGTGCAGAAAGATGTAGAAATTATGTTAATTGTCCCTCAAGTTTTTCTTTGTTTGCCCATCACCCCAATTTTCTGCATCAGATCCTAAAACGATACTGTTTAACCAGAGTGTTTGATTGCTACGGTCCACTCATTCCGAGGTCAAGAGCTTGAGACGGGTCGGGCTTTGTTGGCACACATCAACCAGCTACCTGAACGAGCTTGTCAACAAATGGCCATGAATCTTTTATGGAACTGGTAATTATGTAGCTATGCACTTGAAAGCGTTCTGTCTGTGCCATGTGAGCATCTGATGGGGGGTGCTGTTTATGAATGAGGACAGTGTTAGAGTTTCATGGAGCATCATGGCAGATACAAGCACCCACACACAAGTTCTGTTTGAGCCTAAAGGCAATTACTAAAGGACTAGTTTTCCTCATTCACACAGACTCTGGGCTTAGGGGTTCAATCTGCTTCACGGCTAATTCAGGAACTCGACAACCAGCAGTTTAAGCCGTCTTAGTCTGATGTTTACAGGCTGTTACGCCACCAGAGCTGGACGTTTGCCTGCTACTATCCTGCTGAATCAGTGGTTAAATTGAGCAAAAGGCTATACCGGGAGACCGCAAATCTCCACATATAACAGCTCATTTGTTAAATCCTTAAAGCCTCCTGAAAGATTTCATAGTGGTTGCATTTATACAGCAGAAAAAAAGAACAAAGATTCAATTAAAGGGTGAACATGCTTTATTGCACATGTATCACTTAGAATATGATTAGAATTTTTCATATCAGTGATTTATTTCCAAAAGTTAAAGTCTCACAAGAGGAAATTTACACATAAAAAGTGATATATTATGAATGTTAATTTACTTTACCTTACTGAGAACGGTTAAAGTTAACAAAAAAAAAAGTCTATTTTTTTTTTATAAAAATGAAGATAGAAAAAAGATTTCAATATACAGATGTTATGTTCAGGTAGAGTCTTGAGCTGACGTCACTAACAGCCTCCACTACAAGGTTGAGGGACAAACGATCAGCACTAGAGACGCTGACTGGACACAGAACGATGTATCAGAGACTGTTAATGATAGGAAAAAAACTATCTGACATTCTGCTGCAGCCTTGAAAGGCAAAGGCAAACCTCATTCAGCAGTTTGTGGAAGAATAAGTGCTTCAACAGCCACAGCAAATAGACCTATCCATGACATGGGCTAACACTGTCACATTTCTGTGCTAAGCCACATGTGAACCACAGATAATGTCAAAGGTGTCTTACTTAGATCAGGAAAAGATGGAACTGTTACTTATTGGTCCAAAGTTTCCTTTTCAGATCGAAGCAAATACTGCAGTCTTATCTTTAAAGGAGAAAAATGGAGAGATAGATAATCCATGTAACTTGAGCTCCAATGTAAAACGTTTACAGTCAGTGATGATTTGAGGAGCCCAGTCCTCTGCTGTTGTTGGTCCACTTGGTTTTAAAGAAGATTCTGTTTCTTTTATAAAGATGATGATTTAATTTTCCAGCAGAACATGGTACCGGCCCACGCCACTAAAAGAACCAAAAACCTGGATCAATAACTGTGGTGACCCTGTGCTAGAATGACCAGTACACTGTTCTGGCCAGAACCCCACTGAGAATCTATAGAATTGTAAAGATGATGATAAGAGGCACTAGAATTAACAATACAGACCAGTTGTGGACTGAGATTCCTGAACACCTCAGCAGAAGCACAGGATGGATGGAAGCTGAAATTGATGCAAAAGAAGCCCATATCTTTTACAGTAAATCACCATAATTTTCAGTAGCCTCACATCTCTGCTTTAAAACTATTATATTATTTGTCTTATTAAATTATCCACTTTTCTGGACAAAGTTCAAGAAAACACTTGAATTTATCACTTTATGTTTAACGACTAGAGATCAAATGATACAGGGTTCTTAAGGCCAATGCTGATACCGGTTATTCTGACATGAATCTAACCCATCGTCAATATGAGGCGATTTCTTTAAAGCTGATATTGTCATGATCTTGGCACTGATGACCAGCTTGACTTTTTATCTCATTCACCAGTTTAACTCCGCCCAGTTTCTCATCACTGTTTATTTGTGTCACCTGCTCCAGTCTATATTTAACCTGCCTGCTCCCAGTCATAAGTGCCATATTATTCAAGCCTGCGGTGAGAGTTATCAAGCATACCTGATTGTGTTCTTATTGTCTGATCCTGACCCGTCTGCATTTGGGCCTCTGAGCCGGCTTATTCATCTTCTGATCTGTTTGCTGCTGGATTCTGATGACCCTGGATCTTCTTCCTGACACTGACCTGGATTTCCCTTCAGTACCTCTTCGGATCTCTGATCTTCTGTCTGGCTTTGGCTTCGCCCTCTGGATAGTCCTGCCTATCTTTGTCTGCTTGGATCTGATCTCCTGTCAGTTCTGCAGTCTTCAAGACTTAAGAGTCTTGAACTCTTTGGGCAACAAAAATTGAGTTGGAAGCCATTCAGCTGGAATCCACCGCTTACTCTGGGCAGAGACTGAACTGTAAGACCAGGCTAGTGACTCACATGTTAGTGATCATCCTCCGCCAGATTAACATGGTCACTAACCCATGTTTCCCTCCTGCAAAGGTTCCTGCCTTAGATGTCCTACAGTAACTGCCACTACAATCTGTTGTTTTTAAATAAACACTTTTTGAGTAATCTAATTGCTTTGCCTTTAATATAGGATCCTCTGTTCTGAGCCTTGACAGATATTGACTTTTCTTCCTCCATTTACATGATTAAAATGTTACAGTGATAAAAATGTTACAAAAGTCTTAATTTAAACATAAAACAAACATTTTAGGCGAAACATTTACAAAGCATAGTAAACATAGGAATCAACAGTGCATCTCAAAGCATGGCTGGTGAATCCACTGATAAATTGAAAATGTATTGATATTGGCCAAATCATCCAGCCGAAGTATCGGATTATCTCTAGTAATGACTCTATATAATTTACTGTTTAATTTTTGAACAGATCCACTAAAATGTTTTTTGTTCATGATATTCTAACCTATTGAGATGCATCCATATGAATCTAAACCCTCTTAAAAATCTAGGAAGCAAGACTTTTAGAAATATAACTTGGCAGATGATGAAGCAGGAGTACGTATTTAATGCTAACATCAATAATATGGGAACTGCTTTTAACCCTCCGAAAAAAAAGTAAAGTTAAAAACAAACCACTGGTCTTTGTTTACAAGTTTGAAGACATTTCAGCTCTTTTTCAATGGATGGGAGTCAAAAGATCTTTGAAATTGGAAAGCCCAGTGGATTGTTTTTAACTTTCTTTTTTTTTTTTTTTTCAATGAATATGACTATGACCTGGACCTCAGAATCTTTACCAGCATATTTTTAACCTTAAGACATTTAAATAGATGAAGCTATATCAAATCAGACTTGTTTAAAACATCTTCCTGAGGGAATGCTTATATATTAGTAAATTAAAAAGTTCTGGGTATGCAGGCAAGAGTTTTAAAGGATTGTTCAACCATACCTGTTATAGCTTTGAAAAACCAGCCTGATCTGACAATATTAGAGCTCGGAGCCACCATGCTGCTGTTTCACAGAATATACACACCCTTCCCAAACATGGACAATATCACTCCCTTATTATCCTGTTTTTCCCCCTTCTCTGAAAACACTTCCAAAACACTCCCAGGAGAAACCTGTAGACATGCAATACAACAAAAAACTCCACACACAGTTTTCCTTTTTACTCACCAAGGAGCAGAGCTTCTCCACAGCATCCAGAATAAGCTCCTGGTGTCCAATCTTCTGAACTCCCAAACTCTCCAGATCCAGGGAAGTCAACTGGAGCAGATCCATACCTGACAGATGCCACTCTGCAACCGGGTACTGATCAATGGGAGCATCTAGACCTGTAAATTATAAATGGTTACTAGGTACTATGCACAGTATACATGGAAGTCTCCACTGTCAGAAAATCTCATGCAAGTATCAGCATGAAAAATACCTCCTGCTCTGGTTCATGTAGAGCCGAAAGGACAAGAAAACTCACACTTAAACTAGAGTACAGGTGTTGGTCATAAAATTAGAATATCATGAAAAAGTAGATTGATTTCAGTAATTCCATTTAAAAAGTGAAACTTGTATATTATATTCATACATTACATACAAACTCATATATTTCAGATGTTTATTTTGTTTAATTTTGATGATTACAAATGACAACAAATGAAAATCTCAAATTCATCATATCAGAAAATTAGAATATTGTGAAAAGGTTCAAAATTGATGGCCCCTGGTGCCACACTCTAATCAGCTAATTAACTCAAACCACCTGCAAAAGCCTTTAAATGGTCTTTCAGTCTAGTTCTATAGGCTACACAATCATGGGGAAGACTGCTGACTTGACAGTTGTCCAAAAGACGACCATCGACACCTTGCATAAGGAGGGCAAGACACAAAAGGTCATCGCTAAAGAGGCTGGCTGTTCACAGAGCTCAGTGTCCAAGCACATTAATAGAGAGGCGAAGGGAAGGAAAAGATGTGGTCGAAAAAAGTGTACAAGCAAGAGAGATAACCGCACCCTGGAGAGGATTGTGAAACAAAACCCATTCAAAAATGTGGGGGAGATTCACAAAGAGTGGACTGCAGCTGGAGTGAGTGCTTCAAGAACCACCACACAGACGTATGAAAGACATGGGTTTCTGCTGTCGCATTCCTTGTGTCAAGCCACTCTTGAACCACAGACAGCGTCAGAAGCGTCTTGCCTGGGCTAAAGAGAAACAGGACTGGACTGCTGGTGAGTGGTCCAAAGTCATGTTCTCTGATGAAAGTAAATTTTGCATTTCCTTTGGAAATCAAAGTCCCAGAGTCTGGAGGAAAAGAAGAGAGGCACTTCATCCACGTTGCTTGAAGTCCAGTGTAAAGTTTCCACAGTCAGTGATGGTTTGGGGTGCCATGTCATCTGCTGGTGTTGGTCCATTGTGTTTTCTGAGGTCCAGGGTCAACGCAGCCACATACCAGGAAGTTTTAGAGCACTTCATGCTTCCTGCAGCTGACCAACTTTTTGGAGATGCAGATTTCATTTTCCAACAGGACTTGGCACCTGCACACAGTGCCAAAGCTACCAGTACCTGGTTGAAGGACCATGGTATCCCTGTTCTTAATTGGCCAGCAAACTCTCCTGACCTTAACCCCATAGAAAATCTATGGGGTATTGTGAAGAAGAAGATGCAATACACCAGACCCAACAATTCAGAAGAGCTAAAAGCCACTATTAGAGCAACCTGGGCTATCATAACACCTGAGCAGTGCCACAGACTGATCGACTCCATGCCACGCCGCATTGCTGCAGTAATACAGGCCAAAGGAGGCCCAACTAAATACTGAGTGCTGTACATGCTCATACTTTTCATGTTCATACTTTTCAGTTGGCCAACATTTCTATAAATCCTTTGTTTTTATTGGTCTTCAGTAATATTCTAATTTTCTGATATGATGAATTTGAGATTTTCATTTGTTGTCATTTGTAATCATCAAAATTAAACAAAATAAACATCTGAAATATATGAGTTTGTATGTAATGTATGAATATAATATACAAGTTTCACTTTTTAAATGGAATTACTGAAATCAATCTACTTTTTCATGATATTCTAATTTTATGACCAGCACCTGTAGATGATTCAGTTCATACACTACTGGGATTGGGATTAAGAGTATTTTTTTTTTTATTTAACCAAGATTTTGCTTCTGTTAAGAAGAAATAGTAACTTTGGAGTAGGCCAGTCAGTGTTCTGACTTGAATGGGACAGAGATCTTGAAGAGTCGTGTAAAGATTATGCTGAGGGCAATGAGGCCTTTCAACCATAAAGATTTGGATCACATAGTGAAAGAAATGAAAATGCACCGGAGGCTTCATCGGAAGTATAATGTGAATTAAACAAAAAATCTAATCATTACAGAAATGCATTTTTTTCCAAAATGGAAATAAATAGAAAAAAATGTCAAACACATGGCTTTAAAGTAAAAACAAAAACCTTTTTTTCAGTCAATACCAACAGAAACTTGCAGATGAATGAATGTATTCTGCAGGTATTTTCATGGTGTTATAACTCTGTAGGAAACCATTAATCCATGCTGAGCTTTGTGGTCAAATTCCTCCACTTTCTTCAATTTTGCATAACGTTCTATAGTTTAAATCTACCCAAATCAACAGGAAAGACAAACAAAAGGCCTTTATTTACACTGTTAAAGGGTTTAGGTTTAGTTGTTGACACTGATCAGAGCTGCACTGTTGTGGCTTCTCTCTCTCACTTCCTCATTCCACCTCCACCTTTCACTTCCAATAGGATTTGCGTGTCGTTTCTATTTTCGACCTAACCGCCCGATCCAAAGTACCTGAGAGGGGATAAAGCTTTTAAACAGAAGAAGCGCGCATGGTGCTCACCTTGGAGCCACCTGGTGACTCCCTCCTCGCTCCAAGCAGCTATAGGCTCCATGCTGGGAGTCCTGCTCCACTCGCTCGTTCAGCTGCCGGCGGTTCTGGCCGACTTCTACCTCTCCGGACTCCTGGAGGAAGGAAAAGCCGATCCTGATTTGGAATCGGATGGTGACGAATGGCACTCCTTCTCTCAGGTAACAGGTAGAGTTCACCCCCTCCTAGGATCAGCCAATAAGGAACTGTGAAGCGCCACCAGGAGCAGGACCCCTCCCTCCCGCACCTGAGGCCCCCACCTACCTGCAGGAACTGCAGCTTTAAGGCTTCATAACTTCCTTCATAATAATCTGTTCGTGTTCAGGCTCAGGAATCTGGGAGAAAGGCGCAGATTTCAACACAGTGAACAGAGGGCGGATAACACCAACACCTGACCGGAATTAGGCTAAAAAAACGTCCCTCAAGTTTTACACTAGTTTAAAAAACAGATTTTTCTAGATTTAAAGGTGGATATAAATTGATTAAAAAGACAATCTGTAATTTAATTGAAATGCTTTATTTTTCTGGCAGTTGAATGTATGTGTTTAGTTTTCATTTTCAGGAAATTATGGCTTAACTCAATAAAGAAAAAAAAAACAGTTATTTCTAATACAGAAATATACGGAAGAGGATTAGGGCCACTGACAAAAATTAATAAAGTTAACTGATTTTTACATTTTATTTCTGTATAATATAAGAAAAAGGTCAGAATTATAAGATTAAAGTCAGAATTCTGGGAAAAAGGTCGAAATTCTGAGAAAAAAGTCGGAATTCTAAGATTAAAGTCAGAATTCTGAGAAAAATCAGAGTTCTGAGATTAAAGTCGGAATTCTGAGGAAAAAAAAGTCATAATTCTGAGAAAAAAGTCGAACTCCTGAGATTAAAGTTGGAATTCTAAGAAAAGTCAGACTTCTGAGATTAAAGTTGGAATTCGAAGGAAAAAAGTCAAAATTCTGAGAAAAAAGTCGGACTTCTGAGATTAAAGTCAAAATTCTGAGAAAAGTCCGAATTCTGAGATTAAAGTCAGAATTCTGAGATTAAAGTCGGAATTATGAGATTGAAGTCAGAATTCTGAGATTAAAGTCAGATTTCCAAGAAAAGTCAGAATTATGAGATTAAAGTCGGACCTCTGAGAAAAAGTCTGAATTCTGAGATTAAAGTCGGAACTATGAGATTAAAGTCAGAATTCTGAGGTTAAAGTCAGATTTCCGAGAAAATTCAGAATTCTGAGATTAAAGTCTGACTGCTGAGATTAAAGTCAGAATTCTGAGAAAAAAAAGTAAAAATTCTGGGATTTAAGTCAGATTTCCGAGAAAAATCAGAATTTTGAGATTTAAGTCAGATTTCTGAGAAAAATCAGAATTCTGAGAAAAAAGTCAGAATTTTCTAAAAATTCTGACTTTTTTCTCATGTTATAGTGAAATAAAATCTAAAAATCTGTTAACTTTTTTTTTCCAGTGGCCCTAATCCTCTTCCGTAGAAATAAGAAGGTCTATTGTAGAGTAGTCAGAGTTACATTTGCATTATTATTGTATCAATGCATCACTCAATAAGAGATCAGTGCGTCTGCTGATGTGCTGACAAAAATCCCAAGTTGCCTTAAATGCAGGCTTCAGATTGTCAGTGTTGTTGGGTCTGGTGTGACAATAATCCTCAGATTATCTGTTTGGTTTATGTCACACCACTTTGTTGGCCAATTAATAATGGTTAGATCATGGTGATTGAAGCAGGGATTTGTATTTGGCAGCAGTTGATAAGATCTGCATGAAAAATTGAAATGGTTTAAAATGTTTAGATCAGACCCACCAGTTGAAATGTTCCCCAGATTATAAGGAGGGGCATACTCCTTTTTCTCCTCAACCAATGTGCTTCATGTCTCTGGTTCAGGAGTGGGTTAACACAAGAAGTGGTGCAGTGATAGCCCATGTCCTAATGGCCCTAAAGGAACTCTACTGCAGTTTGCACAGTTTGAATCTTCATCAAGCTCTTGAAATTTTTCTTGACAACCCCTGAAGGTCTGTGGTTTTGCATGCGACCTTTGAACTATTCTTTTTAATTTTTTTTCCTTCCACTTAACCTTTTACATCATTAAGATTTGTTTTAGCTTCTATTACATTAATTTTCTCTCCACTTTTTCCCTCTGCCCGTGCAGCTTTTTCTACTGCACTTTTTCCTATCACACAACTTTCTATCTACATACTTGATTAAAAGTACTATTTGCTTCTTTAGCAATAAATTGTTTGGCATATCTTACTGTGGAGGGTAAAACGGTCTGCTTTCTGGAAAGCTGCAAAGTCAGCAGTCTTGCCTGTGATTGTAGATGTTACTTTTTCTGAACTGAAAGTTAAATATATGATGTTTTTAGAAAAAAAACATGTTTTTATTCTGATGTAAACCTTGTTTTGAATACAAATGGAGATAGATACTTAGCGTACTTTGTTCTGGGTAATGAATCTGTACAATTGATATCATGAACTTATTATATTACATATTTTGTTATTTGGTCTCTTTCCTTATTCCTCTCTAAATGGTGCAACATCAGTTTGTTCTATTTTGCTATTACATACTTTCTAATGTGAAATCATTGCTCTTTACGACTACTAAGACTAACAGAGACCAGAGTAAAATTTGCTATTCGAGAATTATCCCAAGACCTCAGTGGGAAAAAAAATAACCATACCAGCTGACCTAATCCTCTTATCCTACCAGTCTGCTCTCCTGAGAAATGTTCAGAAATGTTGCCTAAGTCATTCTTTGAACTCTCTTTGACGTCTGGACTCCTGAGATGAGTGAACTCTGCCCAAAGTTTATCAATATGTTATTAATTTCGCTACATTTGCGGGTTAATGGTATTAGTATTTAATGGCATTTCCAGAGAAACTTTAATTCTGTTGATGTTTTGAAAATACAAGACACTACTTTTTAAAATCTTATTTCTTAGCTCCACTGTCAATTTCTGAATAGAATTATATCTTCTGTAAAGATTTTTGTAATTTCACATTAACATGTCTTCAAAGGAGTTTGTGTTGGCTTTTAATTATATTTAATAAACCTTCTGTTAGCTTTACATTAATCTAAGTTTATAATTCAATATTCTTAGCTAACCTGTCGCAGTTTTACTTTGTCATAGTTTTCCTTTAAATCTAAGCTTAAACTTTTATTACGATTATCATTTGTGGCTTTAGTTTTACTGTTAATAATAACAATAATATTGGAACGCTTAATGTATATTTTATAACTCCTGTTTTCACAGTCAGTTTCCTTTGCTTTTAGGTTTAATAATTTACTGCAGTTTTTCTTATCATTTATTTGATCTATCAATTTACCTTTTCAGGTATTGATTTATCTATATATATAGTGCACAGTCTGTAGTTTTATCTGTAAAGTATGTTGGATTTGCTGAATAAAACGTGGTGTAGATAGATAGATAGATAGATAGATAGATAGATAGATAGATAGATAGATAGATAGATAGATAGATAGATAGATAGATAGATAGATAGATAGATAGATAGATAGATAGATAGATAGATAGATAGATAGATAGATAGATAGATAGATAGATAGATAGATAGATAGATAGATAGATAGATAGATAGATAGATAGATTAGATAGATACATAGATAGATACATAGATAGATACATAGATAGATACATAGATAGAACTCACAAAGGTGAAGTATTGAACAAATATTAACTGTCAAAGAACATGTTCAGTGTCTCTGTTCGTTAATTCTTTGTTGTTTGGATCATAATAGGGATTTTTTGAGAAACTGTGTACCATCATTTCATGGCCATGTTTCTTTAAGTTTTCAACATACAGTTTTTTCTTAAGGCAGCAAAGGGCAGGGCCTGATCAAACAGCGGAATTCATCAAAGTGCTGCCCCCTGATATCTGGCAACCCCTACTGTTTCTGCTTTTAAAGAAAGCATAAGAGGCCTGGCCAGGGTGAAGGCTAGATTGATATCCTATATGTGACACATAAAGGCTTTATTTTAGAAAATACAAAGCGTGAGATGAAAAGAGGGAACTGATGATTGAGTTTCTCTCTGTGTCCTGCTTTCAGTAGGTGCTCAGCATTGATTTCACTTTGCAAAACACTACTAGCATTTTCAATTTTCTCTAGTTCACTTGTTGATCTGTTCATCTCACAGTGACAATCAGTAACCTGGGATCATGTTGCTGTTGTTGTTTGACAAGAGAAGGGCTGGTATCACAGATGATTTCAAAGACACCCTTACTGGCCTTCTTTTTGCCCAACCCAAATACCTTAGAAACTAATTCAAGCCCCGGCATGCAGTTTTTGCTCGACGGCGCTCTCTCTCAGTCATGTGATTTTGTCAGTTGTTGTTAGTTCTTCGAATGTTCTGGTGTTGGCAACAAATGGAACTTTAAGAACTTTGCTCTCTTCTTTATCTCTATGTCAAATTCAATGTATTGTTTCATTGCATTTGCTGCTTCCTTAAAGAGGTTTGTGTGAAAGTGATGATTTCAGTAATTTTTGGAATGCCAAACCAATGCTTACATCTGACGCCTTCGTGGCAAAAATCCAGGCCTCTGAATAATTACATCACCTCCTGCTGCTGTCAATCAGCACAGATTGGATAATTACTCTTCCCTCAATATTGAGCATATAATTAGTTTCTTTTAGTGCCACTCTGTTTGCACTTCATTCATGTCTTCTCTCTTAGCTCGGATAAGAAAAAATTATGACCAACAGTCTAAAAGTCCTTCAGCTGAAATCTGCCACACCCTGTGGGCTACACTTCAAATCATCCACCAACCCCCTGCCTTTAAAAACCCACCTCATCATATTTATCACAGATTAAATGGAGGATGAGGAGGAGAAATCAGTTTGGTTTTGTTGTGCTTTTTATGTCTAATTTCTAGCCATTACTAATTGTTAAATCAACAAATTAAAAGCTTTATTAAAGAGAAATTGTTATTCAGGCTGACTGAATTTCAGTGGTTTAGATGCATTTTGCATTAACTATTGAGGATCAAGTGGCTAAAGCTCCACTGCAGCAGGTTACTAAATGACTAAAGACAGCTCACACCCTAACTTTGAACTGTCTGACCTCTTGCCCTAAATAAGACACTAAAAGTACCGCAAGACAGAGACCAATGGATAAAAAAACTGTTTTTTTCCCAAAATCCTTTAACGCCTTTAACTCTAATA